ATTCGGGGATAAAAATTACACTTTGAACAGGCACAAAAAAACAGTCCATGTAGGTCAAAAAGATTACTTATGCGAAGAGATCGGGCAGAAATTTGGGTTGAAATCACATTCACTCGACCACCAAAAGGTAGTTCAGGAAAGTCGCAAGGATCGTGGATATACACGTGAAAAGTGCAAAAATGAATCCGAAACTCCATACGAATTGCTTGAACACCAAACAAAAGTTCACGAGGATCGCAAAAGGTACGAATACGACCAGTACGAGAGGAAGTTCGCACTGAAGTGTAATTTTCTTTCCCACAAAAAGTTAGTACACGAAAATGATAAAGAAAAGAGCAAAAATGAATCTGAGAATCAATCGGAACCGCTTGCACATGAAATAATAGTATATAAAGGTTTTAAAGTTTATACTTGCGACCAGTGCGAGGAAAAGTTTGAACAGAAAGTTAATTTGCTTTTGCACCAAATAACAATACACGAAGATTGTAAATATTACCCATGCGAAAAGCGCGAAAAGAAATTTGGAAAAAAATCGAATTTAGTTTAATTTTTAAAATTGAAACGAATCTTGGACTCTGTCGAATTCTGTGAAATTCCATGGACTGTCTGTCAATCAAGTATGCATAATTTTAGTGCGGTAAAAATCCGTTTGACCGATCATAAATGAAAAATGTGATGACTTATTATTTCCATTATTATTATCAAAAAGTTTGAAACCGAAAGATCGTTTATTTGTCAAGACGAAACTAATGTTGCAGGCTTTTACATAAAAATGTATTTCTGATTGAATAAAATGAAATTTTCGCTTGAAAAATTAGTTACTTTCACGATTGTATACGCTAAGTGCAAAACATTTACTCCTTCTCACTTTTCATTATCTCACGTAAGTAAATCTCTTAGCGCGACTCTTCGTGTCTCCGACGCCGCACCGTGGCTCGAAACAAGAAACAAAGCACAGCAGCAGCAGCAGCAACTCTTACATCGCATCTGGGCAATTATACGGCGTCCTCGTCTGCGCGTGCAAAAGAAAAAATCATCATCAACCTGAGCGCGATAAATCCAGACAATACCACTTAGTACATACGCCAGAGGAGCGCGCGCGCACGCGACATCTCGAAATCCCATTCCTTTTTTCTTTCTTTCCTTTTTTTTTTTTTTTACAAACTCACTGCGTCTATCCTCGTGTGCGCGCGCGTGGATAAGTGTCTTAGAAAACGTCGAGCGCTCGTGCGCGCGCGTGTGTGTGCGCGCACACACGGCACACGTATACGAGAGCGGGGGGTCGCGCTTGAAAGCGCGCACAGAAAAAAAATCATCCCTCTCTTTCGGCGACGAGGGAGAGAAGAAGACTTTTACTTTTTTGTGCGCGGGCACTGGCTGGAAAATCGTCAGAAGCTGTGTGTGGATGCGCTGCTAGGCTGCTGCTATACTGCCGTTGATGCTTCGAAAGCTGGAAAAAGCGCCTCTCGCGCGTTTGTCTGCGCAGCGAAAAAGGAGAAGTATGCACGAGTTGAAAAATGAAAACAACAACAAAACGTGACTTCTTTTTGCAATGAACTTGATGAGGATTCGCGCGTCTTATTCGTCGAAAGGAAATATAATTCATGTATACGTTATCGAAAGTGAAAAGCGCAACAATTTTACATCTCGATGCTGTGGAAAATCAATCAGACGCTAGACATCGCGATGACGGCAGCCCTGTAAAAGGCACGTCTCCTCCGCAAGTAGTAACATAATAATACCTCGGCTAGATTTTGAATAGGAGCACACTACCGCGCTGTCGGTTGGAAACTCCGCGCGGAGTTTACGCTGCACCTAAGCAGCATTGACAACATTGTATCACCATTCGTGTGTTTACGTTGCATATAGCTACATCGAGAGATGACACTTACACGTATACACGAACCCATACATACAGCGGTAATATTTTCGCACGCAAAGGGATATGACGCGCTTGACGTTTCCTTTTCATACGCGAAGTTCGCCTCATACAGATATACGTACAGGGCAGCATAATAGGACCGACACAACAACGACGCGTCACGCAGCGCGCGAGAGTAAAGTTTCTCCGCAGACAATGTGCACGTTGTCGCACGCGCGCCCGAGCACCGGTACTATCAACTACTACTACTGCTGCTGCTGCTGCTGCTGCTGCTGCTGCACGGGGATGTGTCATTATCGTTGCGCGCAAAGACTCGACGATGTACGACGACGAAGTGTACCTTTGAAAAAGGAATAAAAAACGCCAGCTTGTGGACCAGAGACAAGAGAAGAGAGCAATTGTTCATTTACATTGTCTGCTGCGCTAGCGAAGATAAAAAGTATGTACGCAAAATTATTAGCACACCGCTGAGTGAGTCAATTTTGTATATAATAGTTTAAAGCAATTTCAGAGGTGGTTTCTCTCCGCGTTTTTCACAATAGATCGAATCGAAAGCAGCGATAAGAAAAGCATCGAGAATTCGTCGCAGGCATTGTGTTATAAATCGTATAAAATAGGCGATCTCTCTCTTATAAGAGCTGTTGTACAAGTGTCGTGCCTGCAGCCGAGTCGAGTCGCGCGAGTATCTATTTCGGCCCGGCTTTGGATTTCTATAATAGAATACGACGCCGCGTTCGAGCTTTTCTTATTGTCATTTTCTAGAGAGAGAGAAAGAGAGAGACCCTCCTCGAGTTCTGATCGCTGGTTATAATTACAATAATAGCAGAGGCAGAGACTACTGCGCGCCAACGAGGTATATACACTCCAACACATGGCAGAGCAAGCAAGTACCGACACTAGAAATACTCGACCTGGCTATATACCCTCTCCTCGCTCTTTATTCTCTCTCTTCTTTAATACCTAAAATCCCGAAGCCGATTAATACGCACATAAGAAAATGACCTGTCAAATTTTGCAGGTAAATAATTAGCTCTCTAGTTGGCACAAGCCACGACGACGTCGTCGTCTTGTTCTTCGATGTGAATAGACGAGACGCGTATACCGTTTGAGGTGTGTGTGTGCTGCAAGCTTTGCCTCTCTCTCACTCTGTATATATAACACGAGAGAGAGAGAGAGAGAGAGAGAGAGAGAGAGAGAGAGAGAGAGAGAGAGAGAGCTCGTTTATAAGCTATATAATGACGAAGCTGCTGCTGCTGTTGCTTCAAGACACCGAGAGAAGAGGTATAAGGTAAGGCGCGCGTGCGAAGGCGACGAAAAGCTCATAATTGAGATTAGAAGCTATTTAAACGAGAAACGAATCGTTTGTTAAATACACGGCTCGTCGTATCTAGAGAAACGTTGGCTAATTGAGACTTTTAATTGGTTATTAAGATCTCGGTCGAGATTTCACCTGCAGTTATCTGTTTGCCCAAGTTAAATGGAAGAGTTAGAAAAAAGGTAAATATTTCAAAAATTTTGCAGCTATGATTAGCGAAAGAGATATTAATTGCGTGCGAAAAAGATAAAAAAATGTTGGTATTGATGTTAATGGAACATTTGCAAAAAGATTTGTTTTTATAAGAATATTCACGAATATAGAACAGTTTCAATTTTATAATTCTGCTTGAATTATAAAATATGCTTCATAAAGCCAAACTTAACAATCGGTCTATTTTTCTAAAAAAATATTTTGTCTGTCGAAAATTGACACAAGTTTATCTTCGATCTAGAACATCGTCGATATCAATTCGAAAAAATAAGTTTCTAAGAAATTACTGGATTTTAATTAACAAAAATGTAAGTTCACAAAATCAATTGCATTCTTGATCACAAAGTCCTTTGTTTCTACATCGGATTCCAACTTGTCGTAAGTACAAAATTTCTAGTCCAAATACACACACACACACATAACTCACCGAATATCTGAATGAGCTTTTCCTCCCTCGTTGTACTATATAGTTGACAATTCAAAATGATGCTGCGAGTCTGCGTAGAGACAAGCTCGATGCAAGCTCTCGGGTAAGCTAAATACGCAAGATTATTGTACGCGAACAACTCAATGAACAGCGGCGGCAGCGCAGTAGCAGTCGGCGTGTTTAGCGCGCGGAGATACAAGTACACATGCGCCCAGCAGCAGCAACAACTAGCGAGAGAGAGAGAGAGACCACGTGATATGTCACCCTCGGGGATGAAAGCAAAGTTTCCACCGTGTATATAATACAACACAACGCCGCACGATGCACTGTCCCGATATGTCACCAGTAAGAGAGAGAGAGAGAGAACTGTTCACGTAGCTCTAGCTTCTGCTGCTCTCTGTATGTTTTAACGAGATAATATTGTCAGGGTACTGGATTGAATTAATAGAGTGAGCGTTCAGTTGTGTGAGTCTGAGTGTGCGCGAGTTTATGGGAAAGAGAGAACGAGCGAGATAGTCGTAAAAGAGGAGAGCGAAAGAGAATGAGAGCGGTAAAATTTTGAGAGAAAAAGAGATTTTTAATGTAGTGACAGGGCCGGGATTTGCAGAGTTACTACACTGGAGAGAGAAGGCAGCCGGTAAAAAGCTCACAATTCTGCACTGATACGCATTGCGCGCGCATCCGTTGCCCGCATGCCCACATATATTCGCTTCGTGCGATGTAAGCTCGTGCCTGTAACTAAATGGCGCCACGCGGACTGCAGCACAGCCGTACGCGCATCCATGAGCACAACGGGTTTTAATATCTGCTACTCGTATGTGTGAGTTTGATTATTATTGGAATATAAGATGATTATTTTTTAAAGTATATGTAAAAATCGATGTACCAGAATTTATATTTTTTCAAAAGCACCTGTCAGCGCGTTGCACGCGCACAAACCTTACTCGTGAAACGTTATCAGGAATTTAAAATCGCAAGTTGTGCGCCTTGATGAATGACATTTTCATTACAATTTCGTTGATGTTTCAATGACATGCGAGTGTCTGTACTATATTTACTAACTGTATACGGTCAGTCGACGGTGGAAGGGGAAAATACTGTCAAGCAGCTATCACAATCGCAGGTACAGCTCGCTATTCTGCGAGTAGTGTGTAAGTCGCTGGCGAGGAATTTCTCAGTGAGTAAGTGTTTACAAATTATATCCGTAAAAGTGTATAGGTGAATTCGAGGTACAGTGTTGCCTACTCGAGGCGTTTAACCTCAAATATTTTCTCGGTGCAAATCGTGAAAATTCACATTAATCACGTATTATATTTAGCGAGTGATGGAAAGTAAAAAGGATATAGTAAGGTAAGAGATTTTTTGTATATACCATGATATTCTTTGAAGTGATTGCGTCATTAAATTTGATTGCTCTGTAGGGTAAAAAAGGAGCCACAGGATATCTGGCCAAATGCAGGCGACGATCATAATTTCGATCCTGTGGACTCTGTCAAAGTCGAAAATGTTGAAACGTCCATGTTTAACAACAAACCAGTGAGTTTATTGATTCAAATTACGTTTTCATTTTCCATCATCAAAAACTAATGCACAATTTTAATTTTAGGAAAATCAAGTGAATCGAGTTATGAAGCTACAGGATAAATTAGGTACAGAAATATTCGTAGATATCGAGTGTAAATATGTTAAACCTGAACTGAAGTTATTATCGACAAACGTTTGCAAAACGGAGTATAAGGATTATACAACTATTGTGAAAGTAGAAAACCAAAATCAGATTATTTATTTGGATGAAAAAAGTCTCATAATTTTGATAAAAAAAGACTTCGATTATCATAATAAATGTAAAATTCAAGTAAAACCTCAATTGAAAATTGATAAACATAAAACGGTAGAAATATTTAGAAAAAATATTCTAACCAAATTATCACACAAGTGCAAAATATGTCGCAAAACATATACACGACAAGCAAGTCTAAAAAGACATATAGATATAACACATTATCGGAGCAAACCTTTTGAGTGTGAAATTTGTCACAAAACATTTGGACAAAAGGGTAATCTCAAAACTCACATAAATGTTGTACATTTTCTCAGTAAACCCTTCGAATGTAAAATTTGTCACAAAAAATTTGGACGAAAAGAAGATCTTAAAATTCATATTAATTCAGTACATGATAGTATCAAACCCTTCGAATGTGAGATTTGTTACAAATCATTTAGACGAAAAGGAAACCGTAAAATTCATATTGATACAGTACATGATCGTATCAAATCCTTCGAGTGTCATATTTGTTACAAATCATTTGGAAAAAAACAAAACCTCGAATCTCACATAATGACCGTACATGATCGTAGCAAACCTTTCGAATGTGATATTTGTCATAAATCATTTGGATACAAGAATGATCGTAAAAAACACATAAATACTGTACATAATCAGAGCAAACCGTTTGAGTGTGACTTTTGTCATAAATCATTTGGAGAAAAGGGTAAACTCAATAGGCACATAAGTATAGTACATGATCGTAGCAAGCCCTTCAGGTGTGATATTTGTCACAAATCATTTGGTAAAGAGTGAAAACTCAAGAGGCACATAATGACAGTACATGATTGGAGCAAACTTTTTGAATGTGAAATTTGTCACAAATCATTTGGACTAAAAAGTAACCTCAAGCGTCACATAAGTGCAGTACATGATCATAGCAAACCTTTCGAATGTGATATCTGTCATGAATCATTTGGATACAAGAGTGTCCTCAATAAGCATATAAGATCAGTACATGTAAGTATCAAACCATTTGAGGGTGATATTTGTCACAAATCATTTGGAAAAGATAGTACTCTCAAGACTCACATAAATGCAGTACATGATCGTAGCAAACCTTTCGAGTGTGATGTTTGTCACAAATCATTTGGATTCAAAAGTACCCTCAAGACTCACATAAATGAAGTACATGAACGTAGCAAATTCTTCGAATGTGAGATTTGTCACAAAACATTTAAGGGGGGAAAGGTACCTTAAACCTACATTTATAAAAAATTTATTAAAAATGAAGAAAAAATTTTTTTTTGGAATATACAGAGAAAACTCTGTTTTCTTCACTCTTTTTTCAAAGTTTTTCACTCTGGAATATAAAAATTGAGGTCCCAGTCACCATAGAACCCTCCTCGATGAAGCAAGCCCACAGTCCTGACAGGTACCCCTGTGCCGTAGGATCCAGCTAGAACCGATGGTTCAATCATGGTCCTTGGGGTCTCATTTTGATCATTAGATGTGTGGTTACAAACGCAAGCACTTTCAGATTTTTTAATTAGTTATACACAATTTGCCAGCCACATATATACATTTATTCATTAATATATATGATAAAATGACAGATTATGCTACATCATAGCCTGAAAAAAGTGCTCATTTGTCCCAATACCTTTGAAAGTGCTTGCGTTTGTAGCCATTCTCATGTAGAACAATCCCTGAAAATTTCAGCTCATTTGCTCAAACGGTTTACATGGAAAGTTACGGCAACAAAGCAATTTTGAGATAAAACGTTCCTGCCCAAGAGTTGAAAAAAACCAAAATACATCAATATATGTCATAATGATACTCTCATGTCACTGAGGCTGCTTTAAACTTTTTGGACAATAAAAAACAGTAATTCAACTTGAAATTTCAACATATTAGACCCACAAGGACAATGTTCAATAATCCCAGACAGACACACAAAGCCAAATTATAAGTTTTACTAAAATGTTAGCATACGCTAATATGGGTTTTATGTGGAAACTGGTAACTAAGTTGATTATGTCCAAATCAACTTTTCACACTAATATACACAATCTCACATTAGAACTTGAACTCAGCCCTCTACCTATATTCACTCACATTCATAAAACAACAATCATTGGATCTATAGTTGGAAATAAAATCACTCAAAATTGATCAATTATCACTAATCTTGGTTATCACATGCAACATACAATAATATACATGATACAGTTATATACACATACATAAAGTACAGTGACATACATGTACACTGATGTATATATGTCAATTTACATATGTACTGCTGTATTTCTTGAATTTGAACTGCTAAAAATGTAACATTTTTATAACAAGCTATTGAAGCATCTTCATAGCTTTATTATAAATCACTATGTCAAGTTGCAAAGATATAACTTCACTGTACATGTACTTTTTTCACTTTCAAAAAAATGTAATTTTTAGCCATTGGAAAATCAAGATGCAGTCAGCAGACTGTTATTGACATTTGATCAGGGCTCGCGCACGAAACAGAGAGAGACATAAGATATGCCGAAACCCACGTGCAGCGAGTGGTGGCGTTACTGTACACCTATAGCCATGTAAACAAACAAATTTCTGCTAGATGTACTCTAACCAAAGAATAAAATGAGTATCAATAGACAGCGCTACCGACTCAAGAAAGTCTCGAGATTCATGAGAGAATGGCAACGATATATTTTTAAATAATCGTAAAAGTATCGGTACTGAATAGGCTGTACATCACGGTACAGTTAAAATTTTTAAATTCCGATCACGGCACTGGAAAGCTGAGGAAAACCCTATGAAAAAAGTCAATAAAACAAAATTTTTTTTTTTGAGATTTTAGGTACCTTTCCCCCCTTAAACGAAAAGAACATCTTAAAACTCACACAATGACTGTACATATGTGAAGCAAACCATCGAAAATGAGATTTGTTCAAAGACCCAATAAAAACTTCTGCATGCACATGAGTACTCTATATAATTTTGAAAAATCTGTCATATAATTATCCTCTAATTTTTTAAAGAAAAATTAAATGTATCAATTCGTTACTAATTATTTTTTCGCTATCGTCGCATATAAATTCAAATATTCAAATAGTTTTTCATTAAACTCATAATTATTCCTAGTATTGCCGTGTTATCAATTGTTCAAAAGTCCAATCATCCAAGTTGAACCTTTTTTACCTTTTTTACCTGCTTGTTAGTATCCTAGTAGATAATCCCGACCTTACAGCAATAATTGCCTGAAAGTCCTATAACTGATTTCCTTAAACCCGCAAAAGTGAACAACTTTAATTGTTGATGAAAAAAAAGCTCTGTAAGTAGTGACAATTTCGCTCATTCGAGGCAAAGTACATCGACTTCGATCAATTTTGTATCGTAATTATACGTATCTCCGAGACACAAATTCTTATACGTATACGTATTCACAAATTGGAATTTGCAACTGTATGGTGCATGCATAAAGAGCCAAAAACTACGCAAAGTAAAAATGATACCGACCTCGAGCTCTGTCACGCTTCATTTACTTGGGTTACTCTTAGTTTCAAAAATCGATAACAATTTTATTGATAATGGATTTATGACATTTCCAAGAGAGGACGTTTCTAATAAAGTATCTCGGGTATCGAAACTGCAAATATGGGGAAGGGTTTGACTCCTCATTTAGTTCGAATATACTATACACATACAAGTAAATAATTTTTTCCGTTAGCAAAAAATAAAAACAGGGCGTGGATATGCTATTTCGGCAGATATTATATTCTTATGGTGCACGGAAATTGGCAATTCGATGTTTTTAATAAAAACTTTTTCGGTAGAAAGAAAAAGTAATTTCGAACCAATAAGTTACGTAGTCAAAAGATTAAAAAAAAAACTCTTAAATATGCATCAAGTTTTAAAAAAAAAATGTAATAAAGGTTTAGTATGAACCAATTCGTATTTGCAGTTGGAAAAGTCGCAACGCACACAATCTAAATTGCCTGTTTGTACACTAAATACGCAGCGCGTAACAACGTCAGCTTTCATTCGACCGAATCGCGCCGTACGTGCGCAGTAAAATATTTCGAATCGAGTCTAAATGAAGCTTTCCGCAAGCCTTTGGTACGGGCGTTATACAGCTGTACGAGTGCACCGAGGCCACCACCGCGCCTCGCACACAGCATGTAACGGCCGGAAAAGTAGAATATGAACGGTTAATTTGGCTTTATATACGCCTGGCTGTAACATCGTGAAAGTTGCGCGCGAGGCCTGATGCTAATTGTTTGTCAAAAAAAGAGAGAATAAAGAAAAGAAAAAGAAAATAAAGGGCCGTTCCAGTATCTAGCTAATGTACAGAGAGGAGAGTTGTAGTACACAGAGCGCGTCAAACATTCAAAACATTAACTTGATTTGAAGTTCACTCCGGGGGAAATTTAATATGTATCTGGGAGTAGGTACGTGTACGGCACGCGCGCGCAAGAGCTTATTTAGAGTAGTGTGGAAAACGCGAAAGTGAAAAGTTTGTGGAAAACTATAAAGCACACGTGTGCCGACGACGCGTGCAAAGATGCAAACGCGCGTCATTCGATGAATATAATCGGACCAAATGAGCTTTCTCGAGTTTTGCGCGCGCGCACGAAATAATGATGACGCGTGCAAAGACTAAATAATATATGGCCTCATTCGGCTTGGATGGGAGGAAAAAACAAAACAAAATTAATTGCAAAAAAGTTTCCGTGTATTAACGTAATACGGGGGGGGGGGGGGGGNGGGGTCAAGTCTGTCGAACATGATTTAGAGTTTATTAAAAGTTACAAGGTGTGCAGCTCCGTCCAACCGTGAAATATGTATATGATGTGCTACATATATATATATTATAAAATGAAATCAACTCAAGAAGCCGAAGTTTGACGCTATATAAGGTATAACTCCTTCATTATCTTGCTTCGCTCGAGAACTTCGTCGAGAGAGCAAACGATAACGCGTTTACACATAATACGTAAGTATACGAAGCTCGAGCAGGGCCTAAATATTTGGATTTCGAGAGCAGCCAACTTCGACGAAAACTGAAAGTCACACACACACACACACAAACAGGGCGCCTCCATAGCAAAGAGAATAAAATAACGCGAGAGAATCCGTACAGAGATTGCGCTGCAGGTCTTGCACAAACTCCGTTGGACAATTCAAACTCGCTCTACTATATTACTCTTGCGGAAGCGCGAGGATGCTTTTTTATGTATACGCTATCTCAAACTCGGGTAAACGCGATCGCGCGTCGGCAACAGGTTTACTTCTATTTTATTTGCTACCTTTTTTTCTGCTACTCACTGCTACTGCTGCGATCGGATATTCGGAGCACGTAGCGGGCGTCGGAATCAGTAGCTATCACTGAGCGGGAAAAGTGACTCTGCTTGCGCGCGGGCGTGTCGATAATGACGGTATACACACAGGATCGTGTCGGCTGGGCGATCGCTCTTCGATTATAAACTTGGGAGGCGGAGGGACTGCAAAAACAGTCATGGATGCGGCTTATTGAATCGAGAGTGAACCTGTCCGGATAAATGGGCGATTTAAAACTTTTTATTGGCGCCGAGCGCAGGGTGTATTTATTACAAGAGCGATTATAGTTGGGGCGTGCGGAAACGGCACGCGGAATCGAATTAATGCATTTTTTCTGTTCGGAAAATTGGCCAAACTTTATTCGCGAAAATAACATTATACTTTTCCATTACTTACATAATGGCAAGAGAAAAAGCGAAATCGATGAGAACGAGCATCGTGACCGCTGTCGGCTTGCTATAGAGGAGGAGGTGGAGGAGGAGGGAATAGATCAAACCGTTTCATTTGCAGATATTCGAGACTATATCATATTCCTTTCGCTCTGCGCGCGTGGAAAAGGTCACCAGTGTAAAATTGATTATCGATTAGTTTGCGCGCACGAGCGAGAGCGGCAGATGTAATGCATTCTCGATTTCCAAGTGCTGATTGAAAAAATTTCAAAACTTTCATAATATCTAGTGCTGCGCGACTGCGACTGTCGTCGCTGTTCGCGAGTCGCACCGAGTGTACTCGGTCAAACGGTGAACAGTACAACAGCAAAAAAAAAACTACCATATATTTGCCCACTCGCGAACTCGATATACCGTATACAAATTGGTGTGGAGTGAATCTTGTCAAGTTTTTTTTTTGTTACAATGACGTACGTACATAAGCTTCAGCTGCAGATATATAGCGTGTGTGTAGTGCGATGCAACTTTGTTATGTACTTACAGAATCTGGAATGTATGATTGATAAGCGTGTCACACACATGTATTTTTTTTTTTTTTTTTCATGTTTATATCCGCGCGCGCGTGTACGATGTCAACAGGTAAAACGCGACAAAGACGCCTACTGCTGCGACGTGTGAATTTTTCAAGAATCGAATATCAATGCGATTTTCCGACACTGCCTGTGCCATATAATGCCGCACGAAGAGAGATATAACGCGTGCGCGCATCATCGGGAAGAACGAGAAAGTTTGCTGATCCGCACGAATACGCTTGGATGCATATATTTACGAACGCGCCAGAGTAATGGAAACGCGCGCGACATCGTACGTATTATATATTATCGAATAGGTGCTGCCGTTCAAGGTGTCTCGGCGGCAGCTGCTGCTGCTGCTACTGCCGGAGGAAAACTCGCAACCACTTATTACCGACACAATTAAGGCGTTCTCGCGCGCGAAAGCTTTCCATAAGTATCGGCCATGTATGTATGATTTTGCGGTAATGAATTATACACACGCGTTACCCAACGAACGCAGAGAGTAGTAGACAGTTGGTTAATTGGATTTTTTTTCAAGAGAGAGAGAGACTCGTGCGCGCGGGGGTCGCGCGTAAGTATTTTTTTTATTTTTTTTTTCGTGCTGTAAATTCGTCGAGCACGGCGACGACGGCGGCGGTGGCGGCGCGAGTGGATAGCGTGAAATTCGAGTTTCAACCGCTTTTCGAAACAAATATCGCTGATCGAGGTTCAATTATGTAGAAACGACGCGACGCGGCGGTGCTGCAGCGGGAAGTAATTTGCGCGTGTGGGATATTAATTAAAATGGAAAATTCTGCGTCGCGCGAGGCGGCTGGATGGAGTGAATTTCACACGGTCGCGTATACGGAGGAGAGTGTTTAGACTTTTTTTTTAATGAGGAATTAAAGGCTAAGTTTAAAAATATACCCACGCCCCGTGTCGTCGTACGAATTTTGCGAGCTTTATGAGAGCTTAAAAAATAAATATGAACGGTAACAATGGAAAATATACCCCGGATAAATTAAGACAAAAGCGTTGACGCGTCTACAGTAATTTCGGGGCATTTTTTTTTTTCAAAAAGCTTATCGTTGAGAATTAGCTTTTTTGGCTCCTTTGAAATATTCATGAAAAGATTTTCGAGCATTCGATCAACGGTACGGGCTTTCATTAATCCTCTGAACTCTCAATGACTCATCCTCTATTTTGTAATGATAAGAAAAAAGAAATTGAACGTCAATTCTATTAAACAGATCCCTTTTGTTTTCCAAAACTCAAAACATTCGAACGAACCTCGTGAATCAACTTGTGCACGAACTATTGCGATTTTTACCAAAGAAATCCTTTGTACAATTTTGGAAAAGAGTGCGCATATTCAAACGAATTTCCGATTCTCCGAGTGCGCGAGCGAACAACATTTTTTTGTTTACAACTGAAACGGCATACTTCAGCTTTTGTAAAAATTCGTGAATACACGATCATTTCGTGAAAAGCAAAATTTATTTAAAGCGACAAAGCTAGGATTCACCAAAAATATAATTGTTTTAAAATATAATACAAAAATACAACGGACCATATTTTCCTTATCCTCACTTTTTCTCCACCTACTAATTGTGCATTCAAAGTTTCTAATTCCCGTGCACCTCGAGGATAACTCGGGGCACCGCGCGGATCAAAAGTT